TTTATTTATTTATTTATTTATTTATTTATTTATTTATTTATTTATTTATGTATGTATGTATGTATGTTTGTTTTGTTGCTACTGCTCGAAAAAAGACTTCAAAAATAATTTAAGATTATATTTCAGACAGTTCATTCAATGATACGTTGATCAGGCATTTATTCATTATATTTTGACGAAATGCAATTATTGCACTGTTACACTTTGATACTTAATTCTAGTTTCGATGTGTTGGGTCACATAGCTGCAGCAAAGGCAATTGCTCATCATTTAAACCCTTTTTGTTGTCATCCTCCAGCGTGACTCAAGGTACTACAGTGTAGATCTGGATCGGGGCCCCTCAGGTTTTGGCTTCAGCCTTCGAGGAGGAAGTGAGTACAACATGGGCCTCTACGTCCTGGGACTGATGAAGGGGGGACCAGCCTCACGGAGCAAAAAAATACAAGTGAGCCTCCTTGTTTTATCCATATTTTCTGTGTACATGTTCATGTGAGAAGGGGAGGTCACTAAGTGGGAGGTGCTTGGTGTGTGGGTGGAGTTTGTTAAAGAAGTGTTTGGTCAAATGGGCTGTCCTAAATTCAGGGGCTGCATCCTCCGAAGGCCGAATTTGTCGGCTGCTTACGTCGCAGCGCCGTGCCGGAGGCTGTCCAAATTCAAAGACTCCTCCGATCCAGCCGACAAATGCATCCTGCTTTTCACCAATTTGAGGGATGGGTCTGATGGATCCTTCCTGACCCAGCCTATCCCAAGATCCATTGCAGGGCGACTGGAGAGTTTTCTTTTCATAATGGCGGAGGAAGCGAGAGAAATAAGTATAGTTTTCAATAAAAATCTGGCAGAACAAAATTTAAAAGTTTAAAGCAGTTGTGTTGTTAATGCTTTTGGCATTTGCATAGAGATGTTTTTAATATTATTCTTGTCAGAACGAGCTGGTATAAATAAATAAATGTGTGCACCTACGCCGGTCCATTACTTCAAGTATTTCCTTTAAGCTAATTTAATTGTTTTATGATATTAATAATACTAATACATTGATATTTTGCTAATATATTTTTGATGCTGTTTAGCTTCATCATGGTTGCGAGGCGACAGGACATACGCCAGGGTAAGGGCGGGAATAAAGCTGAAGGCTACTTTTTTCTGGTCTTCATGGTCTACCAAGGACCCGGCCCACCTAGACCAGATAGGCCGGGTCCTTCGAAGGACTCAACCCCTGAATTTGGATGGTTTGAAGAAGCCATAATGATTCAGTTGGATGAATGCCGGACAGCTGGGGGGTGGAACAATTTGACTCAATCGAAACGTCCAGAAAGCAGCTAAAGACAGATTGCTAATTTTGAATAATAA